AGGCAAGTCCCATTGAACAAAGGTGGTAGCTGTGCTGCCTTCTGCTGCCCCCCGTTTCTGTGCTGCTTAGCCACTGCTTCAGCACCTTCTAGCTGCTAAAACCCTGCAGAAACGGGGTGATGCTGTCACTTGGTCACTTCCCTCTGGCCCTGGGCTAGAGGGGCTGTGGGTCTTGGGGAGCACCGCAGCCCCCACATCCCATCTCGGGGAGGAGGCAAGCACCCGGAGCTGTCCTGCAGCACCCCAGGCTTCCCTCTCTACTGCCTGGCTGCTGCATCCCAGGGTTCCCGAGCGCCGGCCAGGGGAAAGATGCCCTTACCAACGTCAGCCTCAAAGGGAAAAAACCCAAACCCAAGCCCCCTGTCTTTACAGAATTCCAACACAGACACACCGGTGAATGTTACAGAAAACATCAACACAACCACAGAGCAACCAACCACCACCTTTATTTACCTGCCACTTAAAACTACTCCACAGGTTTGTGTTTGCGCTGCGGTACGGGGCTGGCAGGCTCAGCTGCTCTCCAGCCCGGGGCCAGGCTGGGCACAGGCTGTGCCGTACTCCTGGGACCGCTCAACAGGCCCTGCGGCACCTTATCTGCCCGCCAGGAATGTCCGCGCCTCGTCCCGCCCCAGGGAGGATTCGACCTTTAAACTCTGGAAGCCCCTTTCCCGTGAAGCTTTGTGTTCCAGCTCGGCCTGGAGCCTGGACCAGCCTGGGCCCACCCCTGCCAGGTGACGATGGGTTTGCATTTGGCCCTAGAGCTGCAGGAGATGGGTTCAGCTCATCCCTGCAGGCAAGAAGAGGCAGGTGCAAGTGCTGAAGAGCTTGTGCCCAACTGCTGGACACCTGGCCCTAAAGCAGCCATGTTCTTGCACCATAAACGCTGCTGCTTCCCCAGCTTTTCTGGGGGAGCGTCCATGCTTTCACAAGGACTCCCACGGGGGTAGCAGGAGTATGGAAAAGTCCTTGGAAAAGTGGAAGGATGCTCCAGCTGCAGGAAGTGTCCTCGTGGGCAATCAGAAGCTGCCAGGGTGCCTCTTCACCCCAGCCCCTGCAGCAATGCAGCACAGGAGCACAGCAAAGGCGGGGTGCAGCCCCGAGGCTCTGGAGGAACGTGCAGAAAAGGAGAGGCGAGAGGATGCCACTGGCACCTGCAGACCAAGAGCTGGCCTCTGCTCCCGTGCGCTCGGTTTGGCATCTACACCTGCTGGAGGAGGCGTTTCACACCCGCGGCATTGAACCCAGCCCGGCCGGCGTCCCTCAGCTCCTCGCGCCAGGCCTCCAGGAACCAGGGGAGCGCCGTGAGGAGGGAGGAGGTGCAGGAGGAGCTGTTATTGCACCACCCTGGCACTGCTCAGCTGTGACAGCTACCGAGGGGCTGGAACTTCACTCGCAGTAGGCACTGAAAGCAAACTGGGAAACTGGAGAACTTCATCTGGTTCATGCATAGTTCAAACCTCTCAAGGAACCACCTTCCCGTCAGTAGCACGATTGGCACATTCCATTTTAAGGCTTTAACTCCTTGAACTCTGGCTCTCCCAGAGTGACTCTTGACTTAAGTCACTGCTCTCTGCCCCATCATGAATGCTGTGACATGGGGGAGTGGTGTTCCACAGCCCAGACTTCTGGGATTTCCACACCCCAATCTGTCTGGTAGAATGGTTTGGGTTGGAAGTGACCTTAAAGATGATCTAGTTCCAAGCCCCCTGCTATGGGCAGGGACACTTTCCACTAGACCAGGCTGCTCAAAGCTCCATCCAACCTGGTCTTGAATATATCCAGGGATTGAGCATCTACAGCTTCCCTGGGCAACCTGTGCCAGTGTCTCACCACCCTCAGAATGAGGAGCTTCTTCTCAATTTCTAATCTAAATCTCTCCTCTTCCAGTTTGAAGACATGACCCCTCATCATATCACTACAAGCCCTTGGAAAAAGTCCATCTCTAGCTTTTTTTATAGGCCCCTTCAGATACTGGAAGGAGGTGGTAAGGTCTCCATCCTTGGCTCTGCACCCTCGTGCTAGAGTGACAGGCATTTACCACAGGCTCCTTTCACCGCATCTAAAAACAAAGTAATTACTAGACCATTTTTAAACCCCCACGTTTGGGACCCAAGGAGCTGGAACTGGGTCAAACTCAGGAAGAATGCTGAGTCTCATGGTACTGCCACCGCCACCCAATGCCGCCCACGGGTGGGCTCCAGGTGTTTATTTCCCTTGGCAGCACATTCTTTTACAGCGTTACCTTGGTTTTGGTGCTTCCCTTTCCTTGAGCCACAGTGCACCGCCCTGGGGGCAGGAATGGTTCCCGTCGTCTACTTGTGTTGAATTAGGGCACAATTTGTCATATCACAAGAACAGCAACAAAAATCAAGCTACTGAAAACCTACCGACAGCAACTTGACCCAAGCACTTTAGCCACTAACATTTTTTACCCTTTGCCTCTATCCTGAGCCGCTCCCCACAGGCGCAGCAGAACGTTGCCAAATCCACGTTTATAAACCCAAACCCCGTTCCCTTCTCGGCCAGGCTGCAGCTCAGAGCACCCACCACAGAACGGCCTCGCGCCTGCGACGCTTCGCGGGACACCACCGCGGGCAGCCAGGGCTCTGCCAGAGGGGCCAGGACAGCAGCAAGCCCTCGCTACAGCGCACCATCCATCAGAAAGCCACCATTTTGGGGAGCTTAGACGACGTGGGGCTTTACAA